TAACATACCAATGAAAGGCCACCCTTATCTCACCCCCCAGAAATAACCACTATTAACATTTTGATATACATTCCTCCAGATTTCTTTTATATTCATATACCTATTATTTGGGTTTTCTGCCCACCAATGGTACACTATACCTACTGTTCTGTAACCTGGTTTTTTTTCCAGTTATATATTCGAAGCAGCTTTCCATAGTGCCCATTTTTCTTGACATCTGAAAGAATCTTTTCTTGTATAGCTATCCCATAATTTATTTCACCAGTCCAGGATACATGGACATGTAAATTATTTCCATATTTTTTACTATTACAAACAATGCTACAAGGAACATCCTTCTATCTCTTTTGGGCTGTTGTTATTTATGGTATTTTTTGCTGACACAAACGCTACAAAAAAGTCTTCCATTTGATACAAAATTTGTCAGCTTACTCTCAAAAGGTACATGGAATAACATTCCCACCAACAGTGTCTCTCATATGTTTATGTGTCACATATGTGACAAATATTTTTCATGTTAATTATAATTTTGCTGTACAAAAGGGTTTAATTATTATGTAGTGAAATGTGTCAGGTTTTTCTTTATCACAACTGGATTCTGCTTCATGCTTAGAGATGCTTTCCACAATCCTATATTATAACAATTCCTGTTTTTATCCAAGCCCTTTTATGGCTTTATTATTTACATTTAAATGTTTGATCATTCCAAAATTTGTTTTGTATGAAGATTCAGCTTAATTATTTTCCAAATCATAGTATCTTATCCCTACACTATGTACAAATTAATCCACCTTTTCCCCCCACTGATTTGAAATGGCACCTTTACCATATAATAAATTCACGTAAGTAATTGGGTCTATTCAAGAGAAAAAAATAAGATGTATAAATAATGCAAAGTAGACGAAATTATCATTAATTACAGAGCATATGAAGGCAACCCAAGAGCATCAACTAAAAGGCTATTTGAAACCATAATAAAATTTAGCACAGTAGTCAGTTACAGAAATAATACTCAATACTTTTCCTACATCCAAAAGTAACTCAAATGGTCATAAGTCTGCTTTATGAGGTCAACTTTTCCTTTACAAAACAAATAAAATATCATGAATCCCTATGTTCTGTGGATAATTCAATACACACACAACTCTTCCCAGATATTCAAGATGGGCTTCTATTATCCTTACTCCTCTCTTTCTCTGAATTGTTGCTTCCTCCAAGTTTGTGATACCAGCTCACCGCTTTCATACCTCTTAGGTTCTCTCCCCATCTGCAGGGCTTTCTTTCACACTAGACACAGTCCCTCCTTTTCTACAAGTTCTAGTACCCCAAATTCCTATTCCTTCCAAATCATGGCAAGCCTTGAATGCCAAGATAAGGACATTGGTCTTGATCCTGAGAACACAGAGGTTATTGAAGGGTTCAAAGCTTCAATAACAAAACACGAAACATATAGATTTGTGTTTTAGAAAGAACACCCTAGCTGCCTAATCCATAAGTAGTATGGAGTAGATGTCTTCCTGGAAAGAGGGAGAGTTGTCATCCAGATAAGAAATGATTGTGGTTTGGCTTAGAGTGGTAACAGTGGGGGTGGTGAGAAGTGATGGAATTCAGAAGATACTAAAGAAATAGAAAGCAACAACACTTTATGAATAATTGGATGTGGAGAAAGGGGTAAGGAAAGTGTCAAATGAAACTCTTGGGGATCTGATTTGAGAGATCAAATGTGTGGATGGTAACCCCTTTCACTGATATATGCAATACTAATATTGGGGAACTGGGCATTGATTTTGAGATATCTATGGGACATTCAAGTGGAAATGTCTCACAGGCAGTTGAATAAACATGTCTGAAGTTCAGTAAAGAGGTCTGGGCTGAGGTTATAGATCTAAGAGTCATCAGTATATGAATGGTTTTAATCTACGGGATAGGGCAAGAGCACCTGAGAAGAATGTGTAGCCTTAGAAGAGATGGGGCCCAGGGAAGAGCCCTGGTGACCAGCAGCAACTACAGCATAGGTGGAGGAAAAGGAGTCCACGATAGAGATGGATAAGTAGTGACCAAAGAGGAAGGGAGAAAAGCAGGAGAAAGTAGTGTCACAAAACAAAGGGAAGAGAATGTTTCAAAAGGAAGGAGGGGTGAGTAGTGTTGAATGCTACCAATAGGTCAAGAAAAGGCCTGGAAAAAATGTCTAGGTGTTTTAACAATCAGGTGGTAGACTAGTCTCTGGTGACCTAGGACGGAATATTTTCAGTACAGAGATTTGTAGCACAGATTGCTAATTGCTTACCCCAATATCCATTATCTTCTTCTTCCTTAGTAATAGAACATCTCATTTTTAGGGAGACACATAGCCTCCTGGAATAAAGGCCATATGGACAAGGGTCACACCCTAAGAATAGTGGAGCAGTAAACTAAAAGAAACTGAATCTCAAATAATTTCATAGTGCCACCTTACCAGCTTTAGACCGCCTACCTCTGGATTTCTTTTAGATGAGATAAATACATGTATGTCTTATTTAAGCCGCTGTTCTTTTGGAGTCTATGCTATGCAGTAGCTTCCTGATTGCAGTGGGTTGCCATGTGAGGTGAGGTATCATGACAATGTATATAGACTACTCTTTCAAGAAATGCCTAAGCCTGATTTCAAGACTCCCAAACTCTACCTCTGATCACTTGCTCTTTTTCTGACCACTGCCTATATTCTAATCAAACAAAGAAACCCACTATTATCAGATGTTCCCTGCCTTCTCTTGCTTAGGAGTCTTTGCTCATATGATTTCTTCCACATGGAACATCCTCTGTTACATCTACCCTCTGTTTCAACCTTCAACATTTTAAATTCCACGTTTTAAGTCCTGGTTGTGGCTTTTGGGATCCTGGGGTAACTTTAAAGGAATACAGAGTCAGAACATTAGGGGATATTGGATTCAAGGGACTCAGGCAAAATCTCAGTCCAAGTCCATTAGAGAGGCAATCCCAAAGATTTTCAAAGCCTGTCTTCCCTAGTCCCCTCTCAATGCCACCACCTTCATAATGCAGTCTGATAACCACCCTTATCTTATGACCTGGGGAGCTGAAGACAGGAAGAAGCCCTATCAGGAGACAAAAGACAAATTCGTTCACAATCTTCACACTTTGACCAGAGAAATTTCTTCTCACCTTCTCCTGGGTGGGAAGAAGAATCCTTTGGTCTTCAGTATCTACTCATAAACTCTGAAGAACGTAAGTCACTGAGTCCTAGACTGGTTTCCAGCATCCATAGATCAGCAGGCAAATAGCCAAGAGCATGTAGATCCTACATACCCACTAAGGGAAGAGATGAAAAGCTGAGTTATCACCAGGCAGCTCTGTTCAGGAGCTAGGGAAAGACAGTCTAAAGATGGCTGAGTGCAGTGTCACGGGGTGAAACTGCCTAATCCTGGGGCATTCAAGATTTCAGACCCCTGAAGCTTAAATGGGAAGCCTAGAATATCCTCAATACCAATCCCCTCCTCACACATTTCTCTTTCCCAGAACTGTACAGATTCAGAGGTAAGGCTGGGAGCAGATGGCAAAGGTTTCCTTCCAAGGTTACCTACCACTTCTTCCATCATCTAGGTCATACAGTACAGCATAGCAATCAACTTCAAGTTGAACAGCAGACTTGCTTGTGCTTCACATTTCCTCAGCCATTCCTACCATTGGGAAAGGCCTACTAACCGTCCCTTCTCCCGGGCCCCACTCCCTATTGTTGTTGGGCCCTTTCTGCTCCCCAACATGCAGAGGGTGCAACCCCCTTTCCTGTCCATTTCCAGGCTCCTATGTCCTCTCTTTGAGCTGCTGGTAGAATCTCATTTTTTTTCTTCCTTTTGTGTGCAGGACAACTTAATTCATTTTGTATCACTCTAAGCCCTGAGCGCTATCTTTCCGCAGCAAAACTGACTACATTTTGTTAAACCAAAGGCAAGTTTTCCGTAGATCAGGAGACTGGCTACCCACCTTTGGACTGATACTCCTTCTACCCTGCTCTTTGGACATTGAGTTCTTCCTCAGCACACATGTGTGAGGCAGGTTCAGGCCATTCAACAGACATTGAGCACCAACTATGTATCGGGCACCTCTACAAAAGTGGTCCTTACACTTGAGGGGCTTACATTCCTACTGTATGAACATTAGCCCCATTTTACAGAGGACAGAATTGGGGGTGAGGGTGGTAATATGCCCATAGCAAAGCTACTAGTGAATGGCAGAGTGAGAACTTGAACCCTGGTCAGTGCAATGCCAAATACCAGAGCCTTCACCACTATGCTCTACTACCTCTAATGTTTTCAGTCCTAGAATATCCTTTCCAACCCTCTTTATAAACATATGTAAGATGCATTACAGTATGAATTTCTTCTGTGGAGGCAAGTCTAACTGGAAATCCAGATACCCATTTTGAAACTATCATAAAGTGTCATAAGATATACAATTATTTTGTTGTTGTGAGATCACTGTAATTTTTTTAGAATTTTATCTTTATTAAAGTAATGCAACAAATCAAGCAGGGTAGAAAAACCTATGATAAAAACCAATAGTCCCCTGCCTTGACCCTCCCTTTCTCCCCACCTCCCACTCCCTCAAAGCAACCTTTTAACAGTATTTGGTTTTAGTTGTGCTGATTGTTCCCTTCACAACTCTAGATAACATGTATATGCTTTGTTTCTTGGTTTATAAAATTTAGACTATATCCTATGACTCCCCAGTATGGCAATGAGAGTTTTGTTTATATATACTATGTTGCTTTTCCCTTTACTCCCCTGCTGCGTTTAACATTCATATTTCTTTTTTTGTTCTTGGCTAATTTTGTAACTTGAAAAAAATATACTCAGACCTCCATTCTTTATTCCATCCATTTTTGACAGATAACTTCGACGGCTCACTTTTATTTTTAAGATTTTTTTCCATTGGGGAATTGGGAAAGGGGATAGTCAAGTTGTTGTCCTTCAGTCTTAGTTGTGGAGGGCGCAGCTAGCTCAGCTCCCAGTCCAGTCGCCATCCGGCCACCCGTCGGCAGCTCTTGGCCGCTCAGCTCAAGGTTCCGTGTTCAATCTTAAATAGGTTAGTCAGAGAAAAGACTCTCTGAAAAGGTGGGAGAGCTATCCTGGGGAAAGAACATTCCAAACAGAAAGAACTGTCAGTGCAAAGGCCCTGGATCAGGACCGTGCCTGGCATGTTTTTGTTGTTGTTGTTCTCATGCCTACCATCTTTGAAAAACATAAATGTCACAGTTGCTAGAGTGGTGGAGAAAGGCAGGGAGGGAAGTAATAGGAAATGAGGTCAGATAGGTAATGGGGGCCTAATCTTATAGGGCCCTGGTAATCCACAGTAGGGTCCACAGGAGGGTTTTGCGCAAAGGTACGAGAAGATCTGACTGGGTTTTAAAAGGATCCCTCTAGCCATTGTGAAAATATACTGGTGAGGGGTGGGGGGGAACGAGAAAGGTTGAAGCAAGAGGACCAGCGAGGAGGCTGCTGTGGTAGTATTTGCTTGGGTTGGAACCACTGTTTCCTGGGTTTGCTGTTCTGGGCATCTGTTCTGGAGAGCCTTCTTCAGCTTCAGAAAATTAACTTCTAATATGTTTATGACAGATTTTCTTTCTCTTCTCTCTGTCTAGGACTCCTATTATACAGATGTTGAACCTGCTAGATTAATCTCTATCTCTTAAATTTTCTCTCACTCTTTGCATTTCTTTGGTTATTTGCCCTACATTCTGGGAAATTTTCTCAATTTTATTTCCCAGACTTTCTGTTGATTCTTTTTAAATTTCAGCAACTTCTTTCCCATTTCTAAGGAGTCTTTCTTTTCTCTGAATGTTTCTATTTTGTGGCATCTAGTTCTTGTTTTATTCATGTTTTATCTTCCTGATTTTGTTGAGACTACAATCGTTTTTTCCTGAAATTCTCTTTCATTTCCAAAGTTACCAAATTGCTCTGGGGTTAGTTGTTCTATTTGTTCATTTTAGTCATGCTGCAGGTTCTCTTAATTTGCCTGAGGAGCCTTGATCATCCATTCCTAGTTTAGGGAAAAGGACTGGTAGCTCATGTGGGTTTCTCTGTTGTTGTCTAAGCCTGGCTGTTTTCTAGCTAGGGCTCTCTACCATGACAAAATTCTGAGAGGAAACTTCATGTGGACTTGGGGGAGGTGGTAACTGACAGGCTATGGGATGCCCAAATACCAGAATGAGAAGGCCATACACGTGTGATTGTTCCCTACGCAGTTTGTAAAATGTCCTTAGAGATTTTGCCTGAAGGTAAGTGCCAAAACTGCATGTGCTCTATGTAGGTGGAAAGGGCAGAGAGATGGGGGTTCTAATGGATGCTGGTGTCCTGTGTGCGGACCTTCAAGTAATTTCCTCTTACTCATCTCTGCTCCTCACTCTTGCCCTCCACAGTACCTGCAGACACAGTCCAGAGCATCTCTGGGTTCCCACAGACAGACTGATGCCCATCAACTTGGCATCTCCTCATCCCTCCCCCACCCAGGACTCTGGAGGAACACAGAGTTTCCCATACTTTTGATCTCAAGTGGGCCTCATCCCACTCTAGTCATAGCAGCTGGTATTTATTGAACACTTAACCAAGTGCCAAGCATTCTGAAAATACAGCCTCAATCTTCACAACTACACAAAGTAGGTGCTATTATTATCCTTATTTTGTAGATGAGGAAACTGAGACTACAGAGCAGTTAATTAACTTGCCCAATAACACACTGTCAGTAAGTGACAGAACTGAGAGCCACTCTGTTATATTCTCAGTCCTGCCCTAGCCTGTCTTGGCCTCTGACTATTCTGGAGATTGTAAGTCTCATGCCTGTGGGACCTCTAATTTTTATGGGACCCTAAGTAAGTCCCTCCTGTCTCAAGGTTAAAGTCAGTGCCAGAAAGGGCAGGGTTGGGGCCTTGCCCCACCAACCCCTCTCTCATATCTGCTACCTTTTTTAAATGATCAGTGCTAAGTGACCTTTCTCTGGCCTCAGTTACTGGGCTCCTGTGGATGTTTATAGGAAAAAAAAACTCCACCCTAAGCCAACATACCAAACAGACAGACCCAGAACTCTAGTATGTTTAGTTTCCATTCATCTTACAGCTGGATGGGGGGAAAAAGGGAGGCATGAAACTGGCCCCTCTCCAGGCAAGATGCCAGCCCCAGCTCTTGGACAATCCTGGCTTGTGTGGGCCTCAATGCTACATTCAGAGCCTTTTCCACCCTTCAGAATAGTACCTCCCTCTCAAGAGAAGGGATACCTGGAGATTTAAAAGAGCAAGAGTTTGGAGATCAGGCTCAGATCTTCTGGATGTGAACAGCAGACCCGGGCCAGAGGTGGCATCATGTCTGGGTGGAGGTGCCTCATCTGTGTCAGCTTTTTGCTGACCATTCTCCTTGAACTGACATACCAGGGACCTCCTGCCCCCACCTCATCAAGCACAAAGGTCAGTTCCGGGATGAGGGAACAAAGCTCTGGGATTTATGAGAAAATTAGCTCCTTGGGGAGAATAGGGGAAGGTTATTCAGCCTGTTTCCTCAGTCCCACGACTGATAAGCTTGGGCCAGAGAAAAGCGTTCTATTTGCTGAGCACACATCAGGTGCTGCATCAGGAATTTTAGAGTTATGAATTCATTTAGTCCTCATATCATCCTTGTGAGGTAGGCTCAATTATCCCCACCACAGAGGAGGAAACAGAGGCTCAGAAGTTAAGACACAGGAGGTGGCAGAACCCAAATTTGAACCTAGGTCCTTCTGATCCCCAAAGCCCTCATTTCCCACTGCCCCACACTGAGAATGAACTAGATGTACATTGTGTGTAGGTAAATGGAGGGATTATGGCTTCTGGAAAAGTGAGGAAGAAGGTAGATAGATAGCTTGCTGTGTCACCTCAGTCTCTGGACCCAGTTAACACATTCATAAAATGTGGACAATAATAGCATGTAGCTCTTAGAGCCAATATGAGGATGAAATAAGATCATATCATGCTTTTAGTGCATGATTGCATTTATCAGGTGCAATTCTTCACACCTGAGATCCTAAAGAGGAATCTGAGATATACATATATATCTCAGATTTTATATATATATATATATATATATATATATATATATATGTATGTATGTATGTAAAACCAGTGCCTTGCACAGAGTGCAAGGCTCAGTGAATGGCAGCTGCTTTGTCATATGCTAAATCCTTGCTGCTCAAGTAAAATCTATGGACCAGCAGCATTAGCATCACCTGGGAGCTTGTTAAAAAGGCAAGATCTCAGGCCCCATCCCAGATGTGCTGAATCACAATCTGCATGTTAACAAGATCTCTAGGAGATTCACGTGCACATTAAAGTTGGAGAAGCTCTTGTCCAGAGGTCCCTTGATTTGTAATCTTCTGTGATTCGTTGGTTCTTAGACCTGGTAGAGCTCATTGAAACATTAAGCAGATCCACGAAATAGAAAACAGAGACACTTTCCCTTCTCTAGACCTCAGTTTCTTCACCTGTACCCAGAGGCCTGTCCAGGATTCCTGGGTTCCCAAGTACTAGCCCATCTAGGCCAACGATAGCATCTGTCTAACCCACCTGCTGGCCTTCTCTCCCAGCTGTTGATGACGAGTTATTCCGTGCGTTCTACTGTGGTCTCCCGCTACGCTCACACCTTGGTCACCTCTGTCCTGTTCAATCCACATGCTGAAGCCCATGAAGCCATCTTTGATTTGGATCTGCCTCATCTCGCCTTTATCTCCAATTTCACTATGTAAGTCTGCTTCCAACCTCATTGTTTCATTCATTCGTGCATACATTCACTCATTCTTTTGTTCTTTTTAGCAGAGCATAGTGATGAAGAGCAGGCACTCTGAGATCAGGCTTCTTGGTTTGAATTCTGGTTCTGCCAGTTATGGGACTCAGGACAAGTTACTTCACTTCTCTGAGTCTCATGTTACACATCTGTAGAATAGGAATAAAATTAGAACCCATCTGCAAGGATTAAATGAGTTAATATATTTGAAAATGTATGCTAATATCAGCTCTGAGCACATAGTAAGTCCTTGACAATATTAGCTTGATTACTTGTTTACTTACTGGTGCTGACTGTGGCTCACACTGCACTGGGTACTATGGAAAGAGGAAGGTGCATTGCACGCAGTCCCTGCTCTCAAAGAGTACATATTCTAATGGGGGACATGAAAAAGGAAGCAGATAATTTTAATAAAGTATGCTGGGGGAAATAGAAGTGTGAATGTGGGATGGTGGGCATGTTGAGACCTACGAGGAGACAGTGATCAGTTCCCTACCCCCAAGCAATCGGAGAAAGCCTCACAAAGATGACACTTAAACTGAGACTTGAAATATGAGATGTTCACTAGGCAAGCACGGTGAGGACAGGGCTGCGGAATATGGGCAAACGGAGTACAGGAACAGATGTTCCCTCATCGGGGAACTGCAAGTACGTCTGTGTCACTGGCGTGTAGGGCACATGCAGGGATAGAGAGGGGTCAGAGATGAGACTGGAGAGGTAAGGAGAGATGAGGTGGTAGAAGGCTGCCAATGCCAGACCAAGTGCCTAGCCTTTACTTGATGGTCTCCAAACCATCCTGTGTTTGCACACCCATCAGGAAAAATTGATCATGTACTCCCCAGATATGTATATTTATTAATTTATAGGTTATATCAATATACTATTGAGCAAATATATTAGGTGCATTCTAAAGCAAATGCAAAAATATAAAGAATGAGGGGGAAAAACCTATAAGTAGAGTGTTATTCTTTTCCCACTCCCTCATGATTTGTCCCCAGCATCCCCTGGAGCATGAACACCCCACTCTAGAAATAACTGTGACCCACAATGAAGAGACTTGGCAAGGTTTTAAGCAAGGAGTGCCAATAATGAAGTGGAGGTGGGCTGGAGGGGCCAGCTAGGAAGCAGGGAGCTCAATAAGGAACCTGCGGCAATGAGCAATGACCGCGAGGGATGCTGAGGGCAGGAGCAGTGCAGTGGGTATGGGATCTGAGAGACCATAACTGGGAAAAACAACCTGATGTATATGGGAGTAAGTAGACTGATTTCAGTGGTCTAACCTGGTAGATGGCAGTGCCTTCCTTGAGACAGTGAATGTGGGAGG